TTTAAACTTGCTAAGTAATATGTATAGCACATTCTTCTAGCCTACACAAGCTTTACCTTATGTTGTCAATAAAAAAAAGAATTAATACTTACCAAGCGATTTTTTTTAGCGTAAGAAATTATACAAGTTACTTTTTATTTTAATAATACATTAAAAAAAAAGAGAGAAAATGTTATGCCTTATAAAAATGTGTGTTTCCCTACTTAAAAAAATAAAAAGATTTGGTAATTGAAGTCATGATACAATTTACCCATTGAAAAAATTCCTAATTTTGGCTACGGCTGATTATTAATTTACAGTACTTTAAAATTAAGAAACAGTTGATATATATTACTATTAGAATTTGTAGAAACTTTACAACATGCGTACTTTCTAAATTTGGTCTATCGACTTTATATTTGAACAATAGTTTATAAAGAAAAAGAAATATTGAAACTTATTTCACAAGATCCTACTTTAAAATAATTTTATTTATATTATCATTTTCGTTATATAAGGAACACATTTTCGAGCAACTTTTCTACATCTTCCTCTACATCTTCCCTTACATCTTCCTTTACATCTTCCCTTACATCTTCCCTTACATCTTCCCTTACATCTTCCCTTACATCTTCCCTTACATCTTCCCTTACGTCTTCCCTTACGTCTTCCCTTACATCTTCCCTTACGTCTTTCTCTACATCTTCCTATTTCCCCTACATCTTCTATATCTTTTTCCTTACATTATTTATATCTTTTACTTCTTCTACCTTTTCTATATCTTTTACAATTCCTACATTTCTTACTTCTTTCCTTATAAATTAAAATTATGCGTTAGCAAAACCCTTTAATTATTCTTTTTCTACAAAAAAAAAAATGACAATCTCGTTCAAACCCTTTTTCAAAATTTTATTTTTTCATCCATTTTAAAAAGAAGTTTTTTTTGCAGAATTTTTTTTTTTTAAAAATTATTCTTTACCTTTTTTAAAACCTTTTTCTCGTATTAAAAAAAAAATTTCATTTTTAAAAATCAATAACAACTTCTTTTCAAAACGAAGAGCTCTTTCACGTCAAGATTCATATTATTGGATAAGGTACTTATTGCGCTCAATGTTATTTGATATCGAATAATTAAGTTTTAATGATACTTTGTATATTGTGAGTGGTGAAAGGGTCCAAGGAATAGTTCTGTTGTGCAGACGTGGAATGCGGATTTTTGAGTAATTACTCACGTGTTGGCCCACTTATTCTCTTTATTTTTAGGTATTAACATAAATTAGTTCGTCACGACGATGACGAAATTGACAACGAAAATGAAAACGAAAATGAAGACTTTTTGCGTCAAGGTTTAAAATTCAAGGTAGATGCGAGAAAAGTCTACTGTGTAATATTCTAAAAAATCCAGAGCATTTTAAAGTGGTCCATTGATTCTGGCTGATCTTTCTTAGAGAATAGTAAACTGCGAAAATTACTAACACCCAACCATTATTTTCATTTTTTATTAAACACAGAAACAAACGATTCTGAATATTTTTTGATTATACTAACAAACGAAACAAAGAATTTTTCTGATAACTTTATTTAGAATTAAATGTATTTTAAAAAAACGTGCTGCGAAAACCAAAAAAAAACCAAAAAAAAGATTTTAAAAAAAACTTTTTGAAAGAGGTAATGAAATTAGACATTTTAATAAAAAAAATAATTTTATCATGTTTCTCCTCTTTCTTTTACTTCGTAAAAGTACTAAAATATTTTAATTTTTTTTTATTTTAAGAATTTATTTAAAACGATGGTCTGAAAGGAAAAAATACTCAACCTTGATTGAAGAGGTAGGATCGAGTTTGTACAATATACGCGTCATTCGGTGAAGTTTCATATAGGCTTCTATAGAATTTTGAATTCGGGTGGTCGTGTTCTTTCTCTTTCGTTTACTTAGTAGAAATACTAATTAAAAAAATTTTTTTTTTTTTATAATAGCGATAGGAATTTATTTAAAACGATAGTCTGAAAGGAAAAAATACTCAACCTTGATTGAAGAGGTAGGATCGAGTTTGTACAATATACGCGTCATTCGGTGAA